TAGGAATCTCATATCACTTGCCGGTTGTCACTTCTTCCCTTGTGTATGTTAACTCCCTCGCTGTCTTTCTGTAGCTAATGTACAAGATTGATCATATCATTGCAAGTTATGTTTGTGGAAAGGGTTAAAACAAACATGAAGGCCGATGTAAAGTTTACAATGTTTCATCTGACGCGAGTGAACACGATTTTTCAATGCTTCGTTTAGATCGTGGGTTGACCTGGAGAGCAATGACACGCTGTTCGCACTGCCATCTAGTGACGCGACAGCGAACCTCGGCATCGGTCCCAGCATAGTAAACACCATCGTCGACACGAGCGGCTCGGCAACCTTCATCAGTCACACTCTTGTTGGCCGGCGCACCTATATGACGCGGGTGATGAGTGCACCGAGTGACCTCGCGAATCAAGGCTCGAGTCCCAGGTCCATACTTCGGCCGGACGCCGGCTCGCCAGACGCCATTTTTAATTCCAGCGAGGCGAGCATACCCTCGCGGGAGAGACGCGTGAAGTTTTCACCGACCGTCATGGTGAATACTATACATTCGCAAAATTACGCGTGATACGGTCGGCCGCGAGTTTGAGGCTGTCCCAGGGGTGTCTAAAGCAGTTTTTGTTTTTTTTAGAAGAAATACAGCAATACTTGTGGTTCGTTACGAAATATAGTGTATTAAAAATGTAATAGTTCTTTTTGCAAGTGTTATTTGTGCGAAATCACAAGAACTGAATAAGATTATATAAGGAGCCTGCAATCATCTATTTTAGACACCTTTTTTTATACAATTTGAGGTAATGCTATGACAACCTTAAATAGACCGCATCCCCACTCGTAGGGAAGTCATGCAGAAAATCGATCTTCGTACAAGTTGTCCTCATTTATACTGCAGATTTTTATAACACATTCCTGATGTTTTGTTTGTGCTTGTTCACATGAACAAAGGTATTTGGAATAACCGAAACTCGTTATTGAAATAGCTCATCTTATTTTTGTAAGCCTATGGCAACTATAGAGACGCACAAATTCACGACAGCTCCGAGCTGGGACTGCTCTACAACTATAGTCACTATAAAAGTCCAGTGTCTTCAAGTCATAGGTAGAAGAAATCAAAATATGATGGCGACTTACTCCCTATTTTGTTCGACTCGGTCGTTATCAAATTGCTGAAGAAATGAGCTAAGGAACACACCATAGGGAGTCGCCTGATCACGGGTAGAACTATTTTGAATGCTAGCCATCTGTTCTTCGTGCAATAGCCAATGATCGGAGTCGTCTATCTATTTACATGATTTATGCGCACAATTAGGAAAGATAATACCACCCACTCAGGGTTCTCCAAGCTTTTTCATTATAGCATGGCGGGGCTGCCTTTACGGTCCTAGTTTTAGCATTTTTTTTAGCTAATTTTAGCATGGCGGCTATGATATTTAGAGTGGTGGGTGCATTTTAGGATGGCGGGGTTCGACGATAGCCTGGGGGGCCGCCAGGCTATAAGTGCTCTTGGAGAACCCTGCCACTCCTTATTAACGATAGCTTGAATACATCTATTCATATTTATGATTTAGAGGTATGTTCGTTATGATAAGAGTAGTAGATTTGGCAGTAATTCCGCATGTTCAACTCATGACAATGAATTCTATGTGATTTTGTGTATAATTTATGCATATATTTAATTTGGTTAGATGTAAATAACGTACACAATGATTTGGCATCATTCATACACTTCTGGTTGCTCGTGTCTAATATCAGTACGTAATATCAGTAAACGCTAATATCAGTACGTAGGGAGATTTACCTTGCATAATAGTACCTTTTACGCTTATAAACAAATTCATCTGAATACAATATGGCTCCCTAGCATGTAACTAGGTATTACATTACAGATGATTTACTTCAGGATGAATGTGATCATAGATCTGTTTAAGGTTTTTTTAACATTATTTTTTAAGTAAATGTGTAATGTAAAGTTCTTGTAAAATATGATGATGTAAATATGCCTATGTTGATACTATCCTGAGAGTGATGTCTGATCGTGCATGCACAATACATGTTTCTTGTGGTGATTCCTACAATGCTTTGTTACATAGGGTGTTCTTATTCCACGACAAACACGTGAGGGTGAAAACCTTGAAATAAACAATGTACAGATAAAACCCTGATAAAACTATACATATTTGCAAGAATCAATAATGTTTTCATTTAACACATAATAAATCTCAGTCAAGTACAACGAATTCAATATATCTCTAGCTATCACTTATGACTGCCAACATTATTTCTGTATTGCCTTTCAGGCTTGTAGCGCATTACACAAAATATATATACTGCGGTTCCTTACCCGATATAATATGTCGCACACCTAATTGAGTATATCACAGAATTTACCACACGACATTACACCTATATGATTCTAAAGATTATAATGCTTGGATTGCAGACCATGCATTCAGCAGAAAGGCTGTCCATCCAACACATAGGCATCCGGAAGTGTTATTACAAGTATTGGCACCCAGTATTGCACAAATTATTTAATCAATTCATATATTATTCCATTTATTTTATTTAGTGATTCATTTAAAGACGGTACCTTGTAAAATATATCAACAATCTTGCAAGCTCCTCACCGTCAGTGAAATAATAAAAGATATAAAAAAAGTTTACAATTAATAAGTGCAATTAACAAGTGACAAGATACGCTAGTAATTAATTGAGCAACCTTGCATGGGCCATGCCTGAGAAGATAGCCACGATGGCAGTGGCAAGGACTACATTTGACGTGTGAAGTATGCAAGCTCATCCAATGCCACGTCATAGTCATTCAGCCACACCGGTCCCTCTATGATACTGCTCTTCAGCTCATCATGCCATGATCCTGGAGAGTGCATGAAAAGCAATATATTTATATAATTATATATATATAGACATCGACACTTAGAATGTCTGGTTGTCTCTTTACTATTATGGCACTCATGGCAAGTGCCTATATATTATGCTGAAACAAATTATTAACTGAAAAATATGACATATATTATATATCATTTCAAGAGCGTATAAAGAAGGAGAGCGTACAACGGTGAAATGCTAAAACCATGTTGCAGTATTAGTCGAATTAATAAACTTTGCCCGTTTTATTTTGACAATTCTTTGTGGTATTATTGATCAGCTGTCCTACCTTGCTAATATAAAACAAACCGCTTGTCCCTACGATGCCTCTACGCTGAGATAATGAGCGGTGAAAATCTGGTATTTTCGCCAAAAACCGACTCGAGATACGTAGTGGCCGCGACTGTCTCTCGTCCTGGCGATAGCTTCGGTAAACCCCGCGTGTTTCCGTCATTCATTGACAATGAAATTTATTTTCCTTCTACTATCTTTTCTCGCATTTCCAGTCATTGACGCAGCCATTACTCTACAAAAACGGCTTGTTAATTATCGCCATGGTGATGACTCCCCGCTTACGCTGGATGTAGTAACGCTGTAGTAATAACGCATCGAGTCAGCGCTACACAGCGGCGACCGGAAGCAACATACAGTGCACAAAACATGAGACAGTCGAAGTAAAACTGATCTTGAGTCGGTTTTTGGCAAAAATACCAGATTTTCACCGCTCATTATCTCAACGTAGAGACATCGTCCCTACATGTGGTTTGTTTTATATTAACAAGGTAGGACAGCTGATCAATAATACTGCAAGGAAAGTTTATTAATTCGACTAATACTGCAACATGGTTTCAGCATTTCACCGTTGTACGCTCTCCTTCTTAATACGCTCTTGATCATTTCAATATAATTACAATATCTGCAAGATTTTATATTTTTTACCACTTCAAGGCATTCCTGTATAGGTACAGAATTATGTTATGTTGAAAATATGCTTGACGACCTGCAAATTTAGTTTTCCCAGGCTAGTAGATTATCATTGTAGTGTTTATCAAGCTTTTCGCAGCCGTTACCTGTGGGTAGATAGATGTTTACCTGTGGGTAGATAGATGTTTACCTGTGGGTAGATAGATGTTTACCTGTGGGTAGATAGATGTTTACCTGTGGGTAGATAGATGTTTCGTGAGCGTGCGTTCTTCCTCAGTACAGGTGCGACTAGTACATCGTTGCCTAGCAGGAACTGAGAGTCACACTCCAACGCGTCGATGTCAGTTGGAGCTATCCACCACAACGGTCGAACGATCGGATCACCTGAACATACGCAACAGGTTCCATGTCAAAATGTGATAGTAACAGAATAGTACACTCCCCAGAATCAGCACTTTATGCCGAAGAGTGCTTAGTATGCTGAAATAAATTATGTGAAAATAAATCTGAATATAAATTATAATAAATTATTAAAACCAAACTCTGTACTGAAAAATATGACATATATTATATTATATCATTTCAATATAAGTACAATATCTGCAAGACTATATACATTCATCCAAGACTTTATCCATGTCAAAACGTGATAGTAGTGAATAGTAGAATAGTGAATAGTACACTACCCAAAACCAGCACTTCATAACTCAGCAGCGTTTTTACAATCCCCCGTCGCAATGCCGATTGGCTACCCGTCAATCGCTCCCTCCCAAGTGGGGATTCCAGGAAAAAGAACCCCTCCCTGACAGGTTACTGCATATGCCATAATTTTGCGTACAGATATTTTCGCGAATTCAGACTTGACGGACAATTTCGCGAGTGGTTAATTTCGCCGTCGGCGAATTATGAATTATTCGGTATTATTCGGTATGAATTATTCGCGTGTTGTTATTTTCGCGATCGGGGACGCGTTCCGCGAAATTCGCGAAAATTAACCCACCGCGAAATATACAGCGTACAACAGTACTTCGACAATGCAGTGCAGGCTCACCGGTCACGGTCGCGTTGTGCGCGAGCTCCAGAATGAGCGGAGTGTACTGGGTGTGCAGGTCGACCATGGCGCGGGCGATGCGCGTCACCTCCACGTCACCGTACTGCCACGGAGTGATGGAGAACTGCAGCGAGGGGAGCAGCGCGTTTGCCTCCACCCAGCGAATGTAGAGTTCCTTGTCGGGGAGGCCCGACGACGAGCTGCCGGCGAGGCCGTATGCGTTTCCACCTGCGAGACGCAGGGAGAAGTGACGGTGGTGAGAGAGAGGAGAATTGTCTACACGGCGGTATATGCACTGAATGTCATTATAACTGCTAGCGAGAGAAATTATTACGAGTGGCCGGTTCACAGATGATAACGCACAACTAAACCTATTCAGGGCCTAATCCAGGCCATTTTTCATACCGAATACTGGCCGCCCAAATTAGGACCCCTAGCAAAACGCCCAAATTAGCAGAGCTCTGATGCAGATCTCCATGTTTCTATCGTTATGTAGGCACTGTTTTATAATAAAATGCTCACATAAGATCTATAATCTCTTATCTGAATAAAATGTGTCGACCAAACCCCCCGTGATAGATAACTATATATATACTTTTTTTTAGGCTCACTACGCTCGCCACAGCTAGGTGCCCATATTAAGCAGCCAGATTCGCCCCTGCTACTACGGTTACTCAGTCAGTCATTTACTCTCACTGGCTTGCCCATTCACCCACACTATCACTGGCTCATTCACTTACTCACTCACTTACTCACCCAAATTTTCCACGGAATTGTACAGCATCATTCATTCATCACTAAAAATCTTTCGGAAAAACATGGCCGACTTTCACGCACAGTACGACTCACCTATCATATCCGGCAGCACGAACGGGTATCCGAGTAATCCGAAGGTCAGCGTACAGGGGATAAGCGTCCGCAGGCCGTTGTTGTAACCCCAGCGCGAGTCTTTGTCCATGACGCGCACAAACACGGGCAGCCTCTGCGACCCGGCGCCCGTGCGCACCTCGATCATCGGCCCAAGCTGCGCGCACGCCTCGCAGTAAAGCTCCGAGAACTTGTTCGGGTAGGGCATGCCGCGAAGCGCGAACGTCTCCGGCAGCCAGTTGGTCTCGCCGGCGTCAAACTTGAACGAGTCGACTCCGTACCTGACCTTGAAGTCCTTGAGGTTCTGCACGAACCACTCGAGCGCGGCCGGGTTCGAGGAGTCGAGGATCGCGCCAACGCCATTCCACCACCTTGTCAGTGCTGCAGTGTAATAGAACCACATGTAAAAACAACAGTTAAACAAAGGTTAGAAGGAACCGAATAATACTACCACAAGTCGAAACTAGTCGTTTATTCCTAACTTACTTATTAGCATTTCTCAACCGAAACTTTGTTTTAAAATGGCATCCAATAGCCCGCATATTGGAACAACATGGGGTAGTACAGTGGAGCGGTGCCCCGTAGAGGCCGTCCAGGTCTCTTCTTTACACATCTTAACACTTAACATTGGGTTAGTTACAATACAATCACATGACAGTCAATGCATCAGGAGTTAATAATACTAGATAACAGAAATAATAACGTTTTAAACTACTCTTGGAATGGATGTTAACGATAGATTAAATAAAATCATACAAGCTAATCACGCTCCCCAAGTCACTGGTCTTGTTCTAGCATCGATGCTAAAGCATACGACTATTAAGCAAGAACAAAGAATCGCGTTACTAACCCGGAACTCCCCCCCTGTCCTTATCCTTCACCCACATCCCGGCCTCCGTGCCCGTCGAGAAAATCTGCGAGTCGGTGTTCGCGAACGGGTGCGTCCACACAGTGACGCGGAAGTCCATGGCGTGCAGCTGATTCACCATGGCGACGGGATCCGGAAACTTCCCGGAGTCGAACTCCCAGTCTCCGTAAGCCGTCGCCCAGTCATCATCGATCTCCAGCTGGCTGTGAGGAAAGCCGCTGTCGAGTATCTCCTGCGGGAGTAAAGCGGACGCGTGGAGCCGGCGCGAGTGGAGCGAAGCACCCAGTCGTCGTCGCTATGTGGTTCGCGTTCGGCGATCGAAGCAGCGTGTGCTGTCGTCGTTTTCGCTCGTTTTAGCGTGAAAATTATCTCCACCTTTGTTTTTTTTGTCGTGTAGCTATCATATTGTTTGTATATATATATATATATATATATTCTTTAGTATAGTTAATGATATTACCTGTGCATACTCCATTACCAACTCCTGAGTGATGTTCTTTTTGTATTGTGCCCACGTGGAAAATACGGGCGAGCGGAACATTCTGTCATCCGGTATTCCTGCAATCAGTGACGTCAACAAATGCCATTATGAAATGTCGTCAGGCTAAAAATATTAGTTGTTTTTAGGATTACTTGACTGACCCTATCTAAAACCCCCTGTTCCTAAAAGTTCCTATTGATTCTCAGCTGGAACTAGAAACATCCACCGCTAGCATTGCCTTGTAGGTACAGATGAGCCTGTATTAAACTTCTTTCATAGAAAAGTACATATCTGATAATAAGATAAGGTACTTAAACAAGACAGTATTTATAATACTACTGTAGTGTTGTCAAATTTCACTGTTAAAACATTTTATTCAATACTTTTGCCTAGAATTCAAATTTAGATGTGGTTTAATTGAAGATAATTGGTATCACTACATTTAAATTCCCCTTTTGTAATATGCTACACTCTCTCAATAACTGCAAGAGTATAAGAGCAGAAGAGTATTATAATTGGCTATAGGGCCTCATCCAGGAATTCTAAAAGGGAAGAGTCCGGTGAATGCAGAGCAGAAAGGGGGTTCGCGTACACCGACAGATGTTTGTTTTGCGAGAACACGGACGCAATCTGATGGATTTCGACTATTTATCTTCTATTATGATGCATTTTATTCTATTTCAACTCGGAGCAATTCCTGCCACACTGAAGAAATCAGGCCTGCAGTCACCAAAGAGGATACGCAACTGACCTGCTAGACTCACCCTCTGGATATGCCCATTGACTAACAACCCAAACTAACTACACAATGATATTTTGCAATGACATATTCTACCTGTCGGCTTGTCAAAGACCTTGTTCGTGACCATTCGGTGGACATCGAGCACATTGTAGCCGACCTTGACTCCTGAGCACACCTTGTACTTCAGGTTGATGATAACGTCATCCCAATACGAATATATGGAGTTCTGATAGCGCGAAGTAAAGCACATCATTCCAAGACTGCCGTCGATCCCTACGTGCAGTGGTATCTTATTATCTGCAACTATCGCCACACCTGAAGCGTACAAGAAAAAAATTTATTTAATCAACAGGCACTCACATTAATTATGCGACCTCACAACCTTCTGTCGTTGCATTCATCACGTACGGCTAGGGAATATCATTGCATACATTTTCTTTTATTCAATATAGATGTGAGGATGCAATAGTGGTGAGAAACTAAAGTATACCTGGCCAGAATTGAACAGCTTGTTTTCTTATATTAAAGAAGCAAGGCCAGTGATGAACCATAAGCTATTATCCATCGAGATAATAAAATACTAATTAATTTGAATTGTAAGTGTAAATTTACCAATACCCCAACACAAAATTGTAATGTCTTTATTAAAATAACTGTGTATGCGTACCTGAGGACGAAACCCAATATCGCTCTTGCACACCTCCCCAGCGTAGTTTATAGATGTCGTTAGTTGTGTACTCTTGCATTCGATGCTTAAGACACCAATACAAACAATAAAATTAACAGCGAACACACAGCACTTTATCTACCTGCCTGGGGCAATTTTCCAGCTAGTTCTAGGCATTCAGAGTTGCGAAAGGAGCATTAACAAAATTCGGTTTTTTAACAAAGTGCCACCGTGTCAACAATTCGGTGTGCACAAGAAAAACGTATAAATCGGCGTAGCCTAAACAAGCTAGCAACAATATCCAATGACAGCACATGGTTAACTCGCTTTGACGGATAAATCAGTTTTGGACACAAGTAAAAACCATTAGTTTCATGTGTAAATGGGATCATACCGTCATTTCGTTGATAGGCCACGTCTGCTGATACACCTCTGAACCTCCATACCAGTAGGTGTGGTTGCTTGCTCCCTGCATGTGCACGCAGTCAGTCAGCTCAGGCATCTCACTTGTAAACCACCATACCTGAAGGCACTCATCGTCTGCCTAGTCGTAGATAAAATCACAGGGTCAGACGAGTACCCAACGCCAAACTACATTGATGGCTATGATAATTGTCCCATAATCATCTTTATATGCAAATTTAGACTTGAGCAAAGAGTTTCTCAACTCTACAGCTGCACACACTTAACTTCTAGCTGCAGATGTATATGACATTAGAGCCATCTTACAACTAACTGTGTTATGTTCCGACATGTATATACTCGTGCTACAGGGAACAGTACCTCTGTGACGGTCAGTCGAGCCTTCAGATGGTCTTTGTTGAAGAACTCCACGCACACTCTGTCGGAGTCCGTGTACTCGCACTCCTGATATTGAATCCGACCTGCAGACGACCCGGACACGACCATCCCGGCATCGATCACCAGCAGGGGATCTCCATCTTTGCTGAACAGCCTCAGGTTGCCTATCTTCTCATTGCTCACCGTGACATAATGTGACTGCCCAAACTTGACGCTGAATTCGGGCACCGGTGCCTCTGTAGAGGGACCCTGCGTTGGACCCTGCGTGGGTGTCTGGGTAGGCACTGTGGTGGGAGCCACGGGCACGTCGTCGTCTGCACTCGAACTTCCGATCCACCAGCCGAGGCCGATGCCGGCTCCTGTGCAGCACGCGCTCACCACGACACACACGACCATCAAGGACGTGGTCGACATGTGGCCGCCACTCCCCATGATCGACGGATTCACGTGAAAGAGTTACGTGTACCTGAAAAACAGTAACTAAATAATGTAATAACATCTTCGGCTTCGGTAACACCAGCAGCCTTTTCCAGCTAACAGACTCTGCACCAGGAAAGTAAACCTATTTAATTGCTATTGTTAAGTATTGCTATGGATGTTAGTACAAATATCTGTGGAGAAGATCTACTTCCAAAAAGCAATGCAATTGCATTAGTTAGCCTTGCCTACTGATTGAGGCTACTGCGTACTTTGGCCAACCAATAACTATCACATCACTGCTGTAACGCACGTTAAACCTTCAGTCAATATTTTTATCTTTTAATCCAGACTCGGTGCATGATAGCATGGTTCCATATAGCTATACTCAATGCCATAAGAGTTTCCATGCCTGGATGCTCATTTTAGGATGGGTACTCAGTGATGAAAACTTACCAAAAAATGTAGTAGCCAGCTGCATGGGCCCCTAAAGTAAAAATATTAGGGGCCCAGCTCAAATTTTAGGGGCCCAGCTTATGGAACGAAGCGCCGAAGTTCGGGATGTCTTCTTGGATAGTGACACTAAAATAGTGCTCTATTATGCATTCTAAGCATAAAGATTCAGAGTAAATCTTTTGAGAAAAGAACTGCAAGTCTTTTTTGCAAACGGTACAAAGTCTATGAAAATACATGATGTCACTTCAATAGGGCGACAGAGTCAAGTGGTGCCCGATGAAACGTGCACGAGTGGCCAATACAAGTATTTATTTATCATCATCCTGTTCTATCATCAGTGCCATTATTCTCAACAATTTCCAATGCGTTTTCCAGCATTTTATCTTTATTTTTAAAAGTCGGCCTCCTTGACCTATACCTGACACCCTGCTCGTTCCATAAATTTATTGCTGGCACTGGATCAAATTCCGTGATTGGCGGGGACAGCATTTTGATGGCATTTTATTCAATATTTAATAATTTTTTTCAATATATTTTATTTCTTATTGATCACAATTTTTATTAGAAACTGTAAACAACTGATTTCTTGGACTGCGGATTTCAATTAGACATTTCTTAGTAACCAGCAGTGATATTGGATAAACTAATATGTGTTTGTTTGTAAAGTTATGTACTTATTAACTACACAATGTGCCAGTTACTCTAGTATTCGTCAACATTGCATAATCAATGGGCCTAGCTAGTATAACTACATGTATCGGTTTGAGAACATTACCGATTGATTATTCCTCGCTATCTGTACTAGAGCAACATGTTATCAGAGGTTGATAATGACAAATATGTCATTATCTACTCCTGATGTTATAAAGGGCACATAACCACTTTATACATTCATAAATAGGGTAATAGAATACTAAACAGTTTATGTGCACTTGATCTTATGAAGTTATGCACTGTTAGTGTTAATTTTATAACTACATGCCTTGCATTACATGCAATAAAGATTTAATAATAAAAAAATGAAAAAATTATAATACTTATATAATACTGAGTATTATAGCCATAGCCTAGGTAACAGGTTGTGCAAAGGCAAGGATACATATCTGTTATCATTAGAAATTATACATCAATATAAACTGCAATGAATGCTTGCATATGTATAGTGCACGCAATCACTATATTATCAGAACATGCTATCCATGGTTGCTGTACTCTGACCTATACCATATACCATGCAAAAAGAAGTGTGATTATTTACTCCTGGTCATCACGTTCGTGATATCATATAGACCTCTATAATATATATTATAAAGAGACTCTAATATCATGTGCTCTGGTGCCACCTCAAGGGCGCGTTTGTTTGGGACGAATCCGTCGGATCGCGATCATGTGATCCTGCTCCGACCAAACAAACGCAAACTCACTTTCACCGGTTCATGTTTCGCTGTGACCTATCACGAGATGGTTCATAACAAAGAACAAGCTGTGATTGGCTGAGGCTAAAGGTTTTAAACTCAACCTTTGAAACAACCTAGTTTGTGTAGTCTGTAGAATAAACTACATTATATTATTTTACTTAATTACTTTATTAAAAACGTCTTCGTACACCTCTTCCCCCATACGTATCATTTAATTATGAAGTATTAAGTTAATATTTATGTCTTGCTTAGCATTAAAGTGAACCGTGGCTATATATACTACTAGTACTAGTTCATTGGTGCCTTCAATGGTGGTTCAAGTCTTGGCTCAAACTTTAAATTAAAACATCCACTCCAGAGCAGAAGGAGCCCTGCTTCCACTTTGGCTAACTGCAAAATCCCAGCTTTTTCTACTGACACTGACACTGTAACTTCTGTAAGTGTAATCCGCAGTGTTGATCTGTCTATAATCATTTGATCACCTTTCTTTCTCCGTCTTCGATATATCAATTATCATATTTAATAATTTATGATATTAATTACGCAGCGGCTACGCGACCGGTTCCGGACGAGGAGCCGCTAGGCTACGCGTCCGGACATCAACTCACACAGTGATCGCGCAACTCGCGTACACGCATGATTGCGCAACTCGCGTACACGCATGATTGCGCAACGGGACGCTCTGCTGATTGCCGAGTGTGTGTGTACGTGTGTGTGTGTGTGTGTGTGTGCGTGTGTGCCGTGGCTATTCTTACGACCAGTCGTAACAATTATTTATGGACTATTCTTACGACATGCAACGCATGATAGTTTGATACTACACATATCAACTTCCGCATCAGACTTTCCGTTTATGAAGGAATGATGCAAAAACCCTAACCCCAACCCTAATCGGGCAACCCTAACCCCAACCCTAATCCCAACCCTAACCCTAACACTAACTATAAACCGACTAAATCTTTATATATACGGGGGATGGTATCCCAAACAGTGAAACACTATCAATGGTGTATGTTGCATGTCGTAAGAATACTCCATAAATAATTCTTACGACTGGTCGTAAGAATAGCCACTGACTACCATTAATTATTATACTTAACTTATAGTAATACTATACTATACTATACTCGCAGCTAGGGCCTGCATACCTCCCAACTCTCATTGGTTGATACAAATATAGTTAATTTTTAAAATTAAATTCTAAGTAGTGTTAGGGTTAGGATTAGGGTTAGGGTTAGGGTTAGGGTTAGGATTAGGGTTAGGGTTAGGGTTAGGG